GGTGGTCACGACCAATACCCCACTACTGATCGTACATCAACCTAACATGCCTCGGTTCGAGCTCTCTTGACAACTTAGTTTTAATCCTCCCAGATAAAGTCTTCATCGTTGAAGTTACAATAGTCTCATCACAAGCTCCCAAGGCAGCCCACGCCCGACACATATCCCCCCACTGTCGCACCTGAGTGGCCCCATCCAATACCAACGCCACCCCTACACCCACTTTCGCTGCTTGCTATCAAATCTGCTAGACGGAGCAGTCGGGAGTCGTGACCCCCCGGTAGAGCCAATAGCTGCATCCATACGGACACCACCGACGGCAACTGCGACTCCTACGACTAAGCATCTCATCGACACCTCATCTATACGCACCTACCCTCAACCCACCGAGGATCTTGGTCTCGTCCAGCTCAGTGACCATCACTGCGGCGAGCTCCACCGGAGCCACCTCAGCCAAGACCTTGATCGCCCTTACGCGACCTCCCTTAGGTGATGCAGCAAGAGTCGGACACATCTTTTTGCACACCTCTGTGGTCAACTCCTGTTCTATACTGTACCTATCTACTGACTTGGGAGATTCCCACATAGAAACCCTCACCCGAGAGCGATACTCTCCAACACAGCCAGCATTTCCTCCTCATCTAACCGCCCTTCAGCCGCTAGAGCATCCACGATTTCACTCAGTGCTCGCGTGAATAGTCTCCTAGAGTCTTCTTGATCAGTTGTCATTAATACGCCAGATTTGACAAGGCCTTCCAACACCATTACAGGGCTCATAAACCGCTCTGAGAAATAAATTAGAACGCATCCTACTCCTAAACGCTAGCGATATTGTTACCCAGTATTGGGGAAATATAAGCTCTCCTCAGCTGAGCTCAGGAATTTCCTTACTCATTTATACACTAATTCTAATAGCAACAATTTCCTCAAAAATCCCAACACATGTATTTGACCATATGCATATTTCCCCACTCTGGTGTTACCTGTCTCGTCTGACTTCACCACGAGCTGCCCGACCATCTCCCGAACGAGCTCCTGTGCGTCGACTCTGGCAATCTCACTATTTCCCAACGATGAGCAACTGCCGACCAGAAGTGTCACTAAAGTGGAGGCGTCCAAATCTGCACTCCTCCCAGAAACCGTCTTCAGAAAGCGCATGAACGGCTCTGGTTCCGTAGGGTACGGACAACGATACGCTAGCAGAGAGCTCAGTAGAGTCTTCACATCCCCAACAGTGAAGGAGCTCAGCTGAGTGCAAACTCCATCTACCAGAAACGACTCGAAATAATGACTGTCCCTCACATCGAACCTGTGCGGGAATGACCACATAGGGTTCACAGTGCACCCACCTCTCCAAGAGCTGAGGGAACAGAGCCAACTCTGAGGGGGGTATGGAGGCGAACTTTTCCCGATATGAACGTATTATCCGCCTGAAAGTAAGAGCCCAAGTAGCACCTCTGAATCTCAGCGCGAATCTTAGGGTCCACGATGGAAGATACAGATTAGGTCCATTCAGCGACCATTCCAAGCCCCAGTGAACTCACGTGAACGTCCTCAATCGGAGCAAACGGCCCACCCGTAACAGCACTTCGACAAGACCTTCACCGTAATACCCATTCTAAAAGTGCCCAGATTCATCCAAGTATAATCAACCCGAAGTCGCCTACCTTAGTGATAACCGCCACAGCTCGCCGATAGAATGGCAAGAAGCCCTCACGAGCCACTTTGACCTTCGAGGAGTACTTCATAGTTTTCATCGACTCAGCCAACTCCTTGAGAAACTCCTTAATCTCCATATCTAATCACACTATACTTCAGTCTACCAACATCATCCTACCTCCCTCCAGCACAGCCGTTAACGCCGCCTGATGGACATGCAGTACGCCTTCTAGCATTCTCTCCGTCACCTCCACCCCACTATGCCGCAGATATGCTACTGCTCGAACCTAGGACAAGGGATCATGTGAAGAACGAGAAGTGTGGTAAGTAATTTCAACTCAAATAAAAGAACTTCCTATTCATATGAAGGACCGATCTGTCCAAAGCCCATGTCCCTTATTACTGCAGCCTCCATGCTTAGCCGTCGTCGTAGCTGCTGAGCATCCCCCTCCTCTAGTAACCCCTGTAGCAGGTCTTGACCTCCTCCAAAGTAACCACCTTGGTGATGCTAGCCATCGACTCCACCTCCATATCGGGTAACTCTACCGCCAGGAACGCTCG